GGGTAAATGTCTGTGAGCTAATGATATTAGAGGTGATAATTGGGGAAGCTATCTTTGTAATGGGTAAGGTAATTAGATTCTTTATTCAAACTTAGGCGTAAAGTGTCGAAGTTAAGCATGAATGACAGTTCAGAGGATTCTCTTTCAAGTGCAGTCTTAAAAGGCCTTTGAAGCAGGATGCAGGAAATCAAGTCGTTGAGACAATGTCCTTTCTGGTTGAAATGGCAAGAAACTGCTTTTTCTTTGTGACCCTGTCTAATATCTGTTTTAATATCTGATCTGAGGAAGTGAGTCTGGCCCACGAAGGCTCATCACCTAATAAACCATCTTGTTAGTCTTTAAAGTGCTACATAGTTCTGTCTTTTGTTTTAGCTAGACCAGACTAACACGGCTGCATCTCTATCACTAGAAATTATTACTTTCCCAAAACCATGAGGATTGGCTGCTAACATTTTTACATGTATTATAAGCTGATAAGCCCTGTAATTAAACCAGTCTTCTCCACTGATAACTGACATTTTAGCTCTGAATAAAATAGTTTTTTAAAAAAAACAGGTAGATTTTATGATCCACAAAATCTTTTCAAAGCTACAATTTACATTCCAGCATGTGAAGAAGTCACAAGATTATTTAGCATCATGTTAAAAATTTAAAGAAACTGACCTCTATCAGGTTGAAGGCAGTATTCTCCAACAAGGATTTGTTGAGTAAACTGAATGATATATTTTTTAGATAGGGGAGCAGATCCCATGGGTAGTGAAAGTTTCTTCTTTCTTTGATCAGTTTAGTTATGATAGTATAATAGGCATCTGTGGAGAGCTAAAAGACAGCAATGTTGTCTCATCTCTGCATGTCCTGGCCACCAATCATTATTTCCATACTTAACTTCACAAAAGTCAAACCAATAATTTGAGGCTTAATTTTCTCCAAATCTCTACATGCTATGCATGTAACGCATCTCCAGGACTGATTTTACATGCCTCTGATTTTACAGTAAAGCCAAAGAAGGGGAGAAATAGTTTATTGCTTAATCCACTTTCTTCCTGCACAGGATGTAACTCGAAGTCTGTCCAAGAATCCTTTTCAGTAGCCTCAGGCAGAGTAAACTGTGAGGCTCTGATTGTGTGCAATAAAGCGTATGGCAATAAATAGACCATTTGTATAGCAAAGACATACACTTATATTACATCATAAAATCCACACATACTGTAACTAAGCTAAGAAGGATAGGAAACCAATAAATTTTATTAAAATTAATTTGTTCTCTATTCATTAGAATTTCAGGTCCCATGTACCCTGGTTTCCTGAAAGACTATATGAACAAAAAGAAAACAAATAGGATTTTAATACCACAGATATCAACACAGTACAACCAGATTGAGAAGAGAAGTTAATTTTGTTTACACTATAAAAACATATTGGTATTTATTTTATAACATTTAATGCAAATATCCCTTAAATAGGAGATCTGGTTGATTTTTTTTAAACCGCATTTTTTTTTGAAAAAGGAAAAACATTTAGGAAAATGTTCATGGTTTTTCCCATTTTTAAGTATCTCCAAAATTTCAATATTCACTAAGGATTAATTAAGACATGGGAGAAGAGGGATTTTTCCCCTTTTGGCTCCCTAAGCCAGCTCTAATCTTCTATTAAAGAAACCACGTTAAATATATCCCTTCCCGTTCCCTGAGAACTCTGATGAGTTATAAAAGGATTAAAATAAGCCTTTATAATGAAAGCAGAATGCAACCTAAATCAAGGAAAGATTGCTATCTTTCTGTAATACACATGCATTTTGATATCAAGAAAGAAAAACAGGACTGAAAAGGGAAGCTATTGCTGACATTGACAAAAAGAGTTTGGAGGACTCTCCTACCATGGGATTTGTAGTGGTTGTCAAAATAGGCCACAGAGGTGTTGAAGAAAGCAAAAGTTGCTTGCCTAGGAAAAAGAAATTATAATTTAAAAAATAGTTTACTGCAATGAACATATTTTAAAAACAAAAATGCAAACACAAACACAGCCCAGTATATCTGAGAGAAATGCTCACAATGCAATTCTGAGAAATTAAAGACAAAACCATGCTATTTATTTTACATTTTCCTGAGTTTCTATATTGAAAGTAGAGTAGTACTATTAATCGGTTTCATTTCCTGTTTCTAGTCACTTTCACTTTCCAATTCTTAGATATTGGCCAATATGGTTTCAGCTTGATTCTTAACACTGCACGGGAGTGTTTTTAAAATTAAAAATGAAAAACTGATTTCAAAGGAATTATAAATACATGGAAACATCTATGCAAAGAGAAGACAGCTGACCTTGTGGATCACAAGTTAGAGGGTCCAAATTCAATTCCCATCTCTGCCACAGTGAATCAGTGAGTCTTAGATAAACTGCACCTCAATAGTCCACATAATACTACTAACTTTCTCCCTCACTTTATCTTTTTTATTTACATTAGAAGCTTTTCACAATAGGGATTGTCTCTTATTAGGTGTACACACAGTATGTGGCACAATGAGGTTCCAGTCTAAGTTGGGGCCTCTAGGTAATAAGACAGCATAATATACATAAATAATTTAGATTTTGAGTCTACATTTCTTGATGGCATGATAATGGAAAGATGCCATCAAGAGCACTGAAACATTAGAACAAAATCAATTAATGGTTCTTCAGGAACAAAATCTGGGTATGTCTACACTACAAAGTTAGTTCGAACTAACGGACGTTAGTTCAAACTAACTTTCATAGGCGCTACACTAGCGCTCCGTTAGTTCGAATTTAATTCGAACTAACGGAGCGCTTAGTTCGAACTAGGTAATCCTCATTCCACGAGGATTAAGCCTAGTTCGAATTTACTAGTTCGAATTAAGGGCTGTGTAGACCCTTAATTCGAACTAGTGGGAGGCTAGCCCTCCCTAGGTTTCCCTGGTGGCCACTCTGGCCAGCACCAGGGAAACTCTACTGCCCCCCTCCCGGCCCTGGACCCCTTTAAGGGGCACGGG